AATTTCCAATATCAGGAATGAAACAGGGGTCACTACAGACCGTACAGACATGAGAAGGATAATTAGGAAATACTTCAAACAATTCTACACACATACATTTAACAACTTACATGAAATGGACCAATTCCTAGAAATACACAATCTACCACAACTGACTCAAGAAGAAAGAAAATCTGACTAGACCCTATAGTAAGAAGATTGAAATCAGTAATCAAAAACCTCCCAACAAAGAAAAGCCCAAGACCAAATGGCTTCACTGGTGAATTCTACTAAACACGTAGAGGAGAATTAACACCTATTCTTCTCAAATCCTCCCAAAAAACTGAAGAGGAGAGAATACTTCCTAACTCCAATAGCCAAAACAATCTATGAAGCTAGCCTTACCCTGATACTAAAACTAGACAAAGATACTACAAGAAAAGGAAAGTACAGATCAATATTCCTTATGAATACAGATATAAAAATCCTTAACAAGATACTAGAAAACTGAATTCAGCAGCATATTAAAAGGATTATACATCACGACCAATAGGGATTTATTCTCAGAATGGAAGGATGGTTCAACATCCAAAAATCCATCAATGTCTAACTGTAATTCAATGTGGTCAAATATGATTGACTGACCACCTTAATAGAATGAAGGGGAAAAATCTCCCACATGATCATCTCAATTGATGCAAAAAAGATTTGACAAGATTCAACATCTCTTCATGATAAAAACACCAAATAACCTAGGAATAGAAAGGAACATCCTCAACATGATAAAAATCTTATATGAAAAGCCCACAGCTGATATCATGCTTTATGGTGAAAGACTGAAACTTTTCCTCTAAGATGAAGAACAAGACAAGGATGTCCCCTTTTGCCACTTTTATTCAACATAGCACTGGATGTTATAGCCAGAGCAATTAGGCAAAAAAATAAAAAGTAAAAAAACGGGGGCTGGCCCAGTGGCACAGTGGGTAGGTTTGTGCACTCCACTTCGGCAGCCCAGAGTTTGCAGGTTTGGATCCTTGGTGCCGACATACACACCGCTCACCAAGCCATGCTGTGGCGGCGTCCCACATACAAAATAGAGGGAGATGAGCACGGATGTTAGCTCAGCAACAATGTTCCTCAAGCAAAAAGAGGAAGATTGGCAACAGACGTTAGCTCAGGGCCAATCTTCCTCACCAAAAAAATAAAATAAATAAATAAACAAATAAAAGGCATCCAAATCAAAAAGGAAGGAAACTCTCTCCATTTGCAGATGACATAATCTTATAAGTAGAAAACCCTAAGAATCCACAACAAAATTGTTAGAGCTAATAAATGAACTCAGCAAAATATCAGGATATAAAATCAACACACAAAAACAATTCTATTATTATACACTTGCAACGAAAAATCTAAAAAGGAAATTAAAAAACAATTCCATTTACAATAACATCAAAAAGTATAAAATACTTAGGAATAAATTTAACCAAGGAGGTGAATGACTTGTACACTGAAAACTACAAAACATCACTGAAAGAAGTTAATGAAGATATAAATAAATGGAAACACCTCCCATGTTCATGGATTAGAAGATTTAATATTGTTAAGATGACAATACTATCCAAAGTGATCTATAGATTCAATGTAATCCCATCAAAATCCCAAAGGCCTTTTTTTTTTAAACAGAAATAGAAAAATTCATCCAAAAATTCACATGGAATCTCAAGGAACCCTGAATAGCCAAAACAATCTTGGAAAAGAAGAACAAAGCTTGAAGGATTCACATTTCCAGATTTCAAAACTTATTATAAAGCTTTAGTACTCAAAACACTGACATAAGGATTGACATATAGACCAATGGAATGGAACAGAGAGCTCAGAAATAAACCCTCACATAGATGGTTAATAGATTTTTGACAAAGATCATTCACTGGGGAAAGCACAATCTTTTCAGCAAATGGTGCTGGGAAAACTGGCTATCCACAAGCAAAAGAATGAAATTGGGCCCTTATCTAATACCATGTACAAAAAATAACTCAAAATGGATCAAAGACCTAAACTTTAGAGCTAAAACATAAAACTCTTATAAAGAAACACAGGGGAAAAGCTTCGTGACATTGGACTTGACAAAGATTTCTTGGTATGACACCAAAAGCACAGGCAATAGAAGAAAAAACAGGTAAATTGTATTTAATCAAAATAAAAAACTTTTGTGCATCAAAGTACACTCTCAGGAGAGTGAAAAGACAACCCACAGAATGGGAGAAAATACTGGCAAATCATATGCTCTGATAAGGGGTTAATTTCCAGAATATATAAAGAACTCTTAAAACTCTACAACAAAAAACCCCCAAACAACCCAATTCAAAAATGGGCAAAAGACTTGAATAGATATGTCTCCAAAGAAGATATATCAATGACCAATAAGCACATGAAAAGATGCTCAACATCATTAGTCTTCAGGCAAATGCAAATCAAAACCATAACGATACATCGTCCACTAGGATGGCTATGAAAAAGAAAAAGGAAAATAAAGCATTGGTGAGGATGTAGAGAAACTGGAACCCTTGTACAGTGCTGGTAGGAATGTTCAACAGTACAGCCACTATGGAAAACAGTTTGGCAGTTCCTCAGAAAGCTAAATATAGAATTACCATATAACCCAGCAATTGCACTCCCAAGTATCTACCCAAAGAAGTGAAAGCAGGAACTTGAACGGACACTTGTATGTCCATGTTCATAGCAGCATCAGTCACAGTATCCAAAAGATACAACCTCAGTGTCCATCACCAGATCAACGGATAAACAGAGTGTGGTCCAGATGCACAATGGAATGTTGCTCAGCCATAAAAAGGAATGAAGCACCAACACACACTAATAACACGGATGAACTTCGACAACATAATGCTAAGTGAAAGCAGCCAGACATGAAAGGACAAATAGGGTATAATTCCACTTACATTAAATATTTGTAATAGGCAAATTCATTGAGACAAAATGTACATTAGTGGTTGCCAGGGGTTGGGGGGGGTGGGAATGGGGAGTTATTGCTGAATGGTCAGAGATTGTTTGGGGTGATGAAAAAGTTTTGGAAATAGACAGTGGTGATGATGGTTGCACAATAACGCAAATGTACTTAATGTCACAGAACCTATACACTTAAAAATGGCAAATTCTATGTTATGTTTATTTTACCACAATTTAAAAAATTAATAATGTAATGTACCACAAACCACTGTACTGTACACTTAAATGGGTGAACTGCAAGGCATATGAATTATATCCCAATAAAGCTGTTAAAATACAGAAATGGCCAATAAGCACACAAGGTGCTGTCAGAGAAACGCAAGATAAAACCACGGGGTGATGGGCCGGCCCTGTGGCTTGGTGGTTAAGTGCGCGCGCTGTGATGCTGGCGGCCCGGGTTTGGATCCCGGGTGCGCATCGAGGCACCACTTCTCCGTTCATCCTGAGGCCGAGTCCCACATGCAGCAACTAGAAGGATGTGCAGCTACGACACACAACT